TGGAGTGCAGTGGCCGGATCTCAGCTTGCTGCAAGCTCCGCCTCCCAGGTTCACGCCATTCTCCTGCCTCAGCCTCCCGAGTAGCTGGGACTACAGGCGCCCGCCACCTCGCTTGGCTAGTTTTTTTGTATTTTTTAGTAGAGACGGGGTTTCACCGTTTTAGCCAGGATGGTCTCGATATCCTGACCTCGTGATCCCGCCCGTCTCGGCCTCCCAAAGTGCTGGGATTACAGGCTTGAGCCACCGCATCCAGCCTATTTTTTTCTACTAAGTTTTAAAAATGCTAAGAAAGGAAACCAGCTAGATGTGGAATATGACCAATGACTTAAGCAGTTTGTCATCAAGTCAGCTATAGATATCTTGATGAAAGTGTGTGAACAAGTTAAACCTTTTTATTGATGAAACCTAAAATAGTAGCAATGGCTGTCATCATCATCATTATTATACATTTTAAAATATATTGTTTTTCCTATTCTAAAAAGTAGGATGAATATTTTTAAATTCACAGTCTGCACTTGTGCCAGTTAACCATTTAGAGGTCTTCATGTGCTAAAAGTTTTCAAAATGTTGCGCAGGGGCCACTGGCATTGTAAAAATTGGGAAATAGTCTGGTCAGATCAGTGTTTCAGAAAGTATTCTGCTTATCTCAAAATATTCTATTATTGCGTTTTTATCATAGGATGCATTAAAAATTGGTAAGAATTTCTTTATCTGATTTTCACAATAATATCAATTGACCTACACTGAGCAGTCTGTATAATGAACACACACTAAAGATGGTAAGTTTGCCAGAGAAAGCATGGAGGGTAGAAAAGAATAAAAGAAATAAAGCATGTCAAACTCTGATACTGGTGCCTTATTTCTTAATCTAAATTGTAATTAAATCTTATTTTATTTAGTATGAGGACTGAATCATAACCACCAGCCCTCTAGTGCTCAAAGGAAGTAACTGTACATGGAATAAAAAAAAAAGTGCCTCCCTTGGAAGTGCTGATAAAGCATTTGAGAAACACATGAACTTTCATTAAAAGTTAATAACATGGCACCAGGCATGCAATCCATAGAACTATACATTTTTATGTACCAAAAAAGATAGTATCTTTGCTAAATTGACTGGTAAATACTATAGCGCTAAAGTGTAAAATAATCTAACAGATAATGTAAATCATACTAGATGATACAAGTGAATTCTGTAGTGGTCTTCAGATACTGTTACAGGTAAAATTGTGTTTACAAATGAGCAACTTGGAAGGAGGCTTTAGAGGTTGGGCACATTACCCTCTTTGAGTGAGATAGACATACTTTTCTAAAAGTTTAATCAAATAAGACAATCACAGTTGGGCCACAAATGGTTTTTGCTTCTTACAGCAATGTAGCTCATGGCCACTTAATACAGTCAGTTGCCACTTCATTTTCAATCCTTCTCCTTAATTAATGCTAGATTAGTTCATCAAGTGGGTGAGATAATGTAACAATGATGAACTGAAAGCATACAGGTCCCATGCAATGCCTCACATTTCATAAAGTTTTGTTGTATTAACATTTCAGGGCATATCGAACCTTAAGAATTGATGCGAGTAATACCATTTCAAAGCTCTACACATAGGGTCCAATTATTACAGCACACTGTGACTGGGTTAATGTTTAACAGTGGCTGTCCTTCACGTTCCCTTAGGGAATCCTCCCAATTTAGGGAGTTGGGAGATAGCAGTTTTATTCTTCTTTACCGAACTGGCCTTATTGTGCAATTAATTAAGACCTGCTTTAAAATAGCCTTCACAACCCTTTAAAACCATGGAAACATCATAGTGAATTTATTGTCAGGCTAAAATAGCTACTTTCATCCAGGTTGGATTAATGAGTATCAGAGTTGTCGTTGCTTTCTGGGTAGAGCATTACTACTCAGAAACAACTCATTTTCTTGACTATACTCTGGGTTTTCAAAGTGATGAGGTGCTGTTAAAGAACCGACCTTGTATAGTAAGTTCACATGCAGTTCAGTTTTTCACATTTTTCTTTAATTATGACTTGTACATGAAGCATAAAACATGTGTACAGTTTAAAGAATAATTATTAAGTGAACGCTCAGATAAACCACCTCCCAGATCAAGAAAAATGACCAGCATTCCAGAAGCCCTGCCCTTGCCATGTGCCCCTCCCACACGGCAGTCCTCTACTCTGGATAACTTCTGTCTTTACTTTTGCCATTTCCTTGCTTCTGTTTGAAATGTAATCACTTACATTTGTATTCTAAAATGATATAACTTGCTTGTCTGTTTTGGAACTTAGAGGCGTAGAATTGTAATGAACGTTATGTGCATTTTTGTGTCTGGTATCTTTCTCTCAGCATTAGGTTTGTGAGACTTTACCCACGTTGTTGCTATCCAGTGTATTTTTTAAAAAGCCTTTTTTATATTTGCTTTTCTCCCTTTTATACTTAGGACTCCTGTAACTCTAAATTCTTTTGGGTATTTCTACTTTGCCTTCTTGGACTTTCTGCTAAATGAAGATTAAGACTTGTCTGGACCCAGGTTTCCTGAGCTGACCCGACTGCCACCAGTTTGATGGCATTTGTTTAGATGAGACTACATCTTTAAGGCTTCTGTGCCCGGTTAAAAATCTTCCTTTCTCCCAGGCTGGTCCAAAGGTCTGGTCACGTGACTCCAGCAGTGACATCACATTCTGACCGCCAGGGAACACTGGTAGTTCTTTAGGTGGCGTTTGTTGCTGTGAAAGGCAGAGAATGCAGCAAGTGCCCTTCTAAAGCACTTCAGACTGGGGCTTCTTTTGTAACAGCTCCCCAACCTAAATGACCAAATGCGGGCTGCCAAGGTTATTTCTTCCTTGAGGCAGAAAAAAAGAAAACTGTGATTGAAGGTAAGCAGACTTGAGCCCGACCAAGGACTGAAGCATGCCCCCCCGGGAGCAGGGGGTCTGGAGAATCGCACACAGTCTGTTGTAGGATTCTAATCACTGCCTGCTCTTTGAGAGGGGCCTGACAATTGCGTTTCTAAGGAAACCGGACTACAAAGGAGGAGGATGCGGTGCTCATGTTACCTAGTGATGTAATAGGATTCTTTCTTTCCTGCTAGAAGCTGTTGCAGATCTTCATTTTGCCTTAATATCCTTAAAGGTGGGGGCCTCATTTGATAGATAGTGTAACATTAGATAGTTATCAGATGATTTTTAAAATCAGTTTCACAAAATCCTGTTTTTCCCCTTCTGAAAGGAAAACTCTTAAACCAGAGCAAATTCAACTGGAGCATTAACCTGCCTTAAAAAGTAAATATCTGGTTGTTTGGTGTCCTGTGTTCATGTCAGCATGGGACTTGAGAATTGAAACAGCTTGCCCTCCCCCACCTCCACACATACATACTTTATCCTCTTTCTGCGCTCATTTCCTAGCTGGCTTTTTCCCTCTAAGCTCTCAAAAACACACCAGCTTTCATCTTTATCGGTATGACACTGACATGATAGGAAATGCTGGGCTGGTGATTCAGCAGCCATCCATTTTACAGTCAGGTACGAATGAAGATATGGAAAGGACTTTGGTTTGGGGTTTTAAGATTAACTTGCTCACCTTTTCCACTCCACCCCCACCCCACCCCCACGCTACAGATGATTTGGACTCTGCAGAGTTTTTTCTTTCAAATATGCACCTTGCCTGTGAAAGGCGTGCTGACTTAAGTATTCAGAAGACTTACAATTGGTCAACCAATTGTAAGTACAGCTTGGGGTGTTCCTTCAAACTTTCCCCATAAGAGTGCTAAAGTTGTCTGTTTGGAGTTTACAGTGAAGATGGGGATGCAGATGGGAGGAGAGGGAGTCAGTTCAGGCCCACTTGGGCCTCCTCTGCAGAGGGATTCATTACCAAACAGTCTGGAGGAAGCCTTGTCCCTGCCAAGGTTGGTGCTGCAAATGTGAGCTTTGGCTGGGAGAATTAAATGATGACATTACTCTGCACTTTTCCCCAGTGTGCATTTGCATAGATTCCTCAGTACTGTTTTGTATTTTGTGTTTAATAGCAAAATCTTATTCCATCAGATGATGTTGCTGAAATATTTTGTCAAGTTTAAGCCTTGTGTGAGTATAGCTTGTGAGTTTAAAACTTTCTCCCTCATTCCCACCGTTCATCAAACAGATTTTGGTTCAGCTGATATTTACTGATTCTTGGATATGTGCTAGACACCGTAGAGAAGGGAACGATGAATCAGATATCGGGCTACCAGCAAAGAGCTTCTAGTCTAGAAAGGAAGATAAAGCATGCACAGAAGTAATTGTAATAAAAGTACCCAAAGCAAAGTAAATAAGGGACTATGGTGGGTAGGCAGGTGGATATGTTTCTTCCAGTTGAAGGATCAGAGAGGGACATTTAATCACTGAATCATGCACTGTTCTTTAAATCTCTGCTTGTAAATCTTAGACTGTGCTGACATACTTAGAGTTCCTACAAGCCTGTTACGTCAGAGATCAAGTCTTATACCTATTGAAGGGAAATTTGTACATTCCAGCGAACTTAACTTGTGAAGAGGCCCACATGCTTTATTTGGAGTCCCCAGTCAGGCAAAAACCACTTCATAGGATTGAATTATTGCCTTATAAATGTAAAATGGTTCTTGATGTGATATGGCTGCAAGTGCCTTTGACCCTTTTCTCTCCCTTCCATAAACTGAAATACCTAAGCTGCTCCAACCTCCTTTTTGTCTTTTGTTTCATAAATCCTTTCCCATTGCACATCAACTCCTGTTGTTTCTCTCTTTGTACTGTCACTCTTATCTGTCGCTTTCCATTCACACTGCCTTTAGCCACTCATCATTTTGTGCCTACACCACAGAAACCTCTGAATGTAATGGATGTTCCTACCAGGTGACTGTATTTCTTTATCAACCCCAACTGTAGTCATCTGATAGTTTAAGGGCCTGCCTTTTGGAACCAAAAAGAACGTGTTAAAAATGTTAAGAGTTTCTGAAGTACTAATGTCTGTTTCTTGTTCAATACAGAGGACAAGTCGTACAATGGTGGAGGAATAGGTTATTCAAATAGGATCATGGACTTCTTGGAGGAGCCAATCCCTGGTGTAGGGACCTATGATGATTTCAATACAATTGACTGGGTGAGAGAGAAGTCTCGAGACCGGGATAGGCACCGAGAGGTAAGACAAAAGACGACACTTGGGTAAGTGTTAGGAAATACAGGGGAAGAAATTGAAGATACATATTCTTTCTATTCTTTCCTTTCTTCAGCCCTGGATGTGACTGAATCTGGTTTCTGTTGGCAATATAGGGTTTCATGTTTAAATTTGTTTTTAAAGACAACTTGCACATAAGATTTTTAATTACACTTTAAGTTCTAGGCTACATGTGCACAACGTGCAGGTTTGTTACATATGTATACGTGTGCCATGTTGGTACTTGCACATAATTTTTATCCTAAATTTTAAAAATTGTATTTAATGATTTATCTTCCTATAGTAAATAGTCAAAAAGGATCCTTACAGCAAAAAGGGATATAGATGCCTCTGAAGAGAGGTGAAAACAAACTTGGAGGAAAGTGGCAAAATAAATGTCAAAGATCTTCCTTTCCCATCTCATCTCTCTTTTATGGTTTTTTCCTTAATGCAGGATATTCATAACAAAGAAAAGTAAATGATTTTCTGTTAAAGGAATAAAAGAAAAAAATCTCAGAGCCCTAGTGTTTACTGAGTTTACAAAGTAAACTCCTTGTGATTATTGCTCTTGTGCAACCATAAAACCAAAGTAAACTTATGCTTTCAACTCCAACAAAACCACAAGACCAGTTAAATTCAAATTGGGGACATTAACTTAATGTGATAGGTAATAGATGGTACGTAAGTACCATCTATGGTACCTGCTATGGTACATAAGTACCTGCTATGGCACAGGTTCTTTTGAATTTAGCAAGAGGATTTCCCCACTTCTCTCTTTTTGAAGTACTGTGAAAACTTCTCAGAGATACCTGCCAAGGTCATTTGCCTTTAACTTGTTGCTGTGTATCATTTAAATTAGGGAATCACAATTTCTGGTTTGTAGTAGGGCCACATGGAGAGCTTATTAAAAAAAATAGGTGTCCAACCCCAGAGATTCTCAGTAGGTGGTTCTCTGGTGAGTCACTTCTTCAACCCACAATAGATATTATTATTATTTTTTCTTTCTTACTATTTCTGCTTGGACTCCAGATTTGAAATGTGATTTTTTAAGCTGCCCCATTCTCTCCCAAGTTCATGATTTCCTCCTCTTAGAACCAAGCAAATGTCTTGAGTAGTCAGATGGAGATTGCCTTTCATTCTTAAGCCTTTCCAGCTCCTGACTGGTTTTCTCACGCCACCTGAACCCAGGAGTCAGGTTGTCCCAAGTATAGGTTTTGAGAAATTCCTTCTTAATCCTTGGATATTTGGTGATTCCCCTGAGTTTTCTTGCCACAACTCAAAAAGTTGATCACTATAAAGCATTTCATGTTTTTCATAAGATTTCTGCCATTTGGGAACATATACACATATTCTTTTTATCATTATGTATCAATTCATCAGGCAGGCTTTAGAATTTCTGCCATCTGTAATTTACCAGTTTGTCATCAGTTGCATATTCAACATATTATCCAGATTATGAGAGTCACCTGTGATATGACAAATGTGCACTTCCTTTTATATTAATGGTTGCATCTGAGGCAAATGATGCCAATTAGTAATCCAAAACCAGTTAAATTGTGTTTATCAAATAGCCCAAGGGAGCTTTTTTTTTTTTTTTTTTTTTTTGCATTAACTGTTCATTATCAGAAGGGAAACAGTGTCACAGGGAAAAATGTAACTGTTCCTTTCCAGTACTGAAATTGGAAACTTAGAGTCACAGGTCAAAACTATTTTAAAAAATGCTTTTGAAATTTTCAGAATAATTGATTGCTTGTGATGTTACTGTAGATAAGGTGGGGTAACTAAGTTGCCATTTCAAAGATAAGAAATAGAGGTACAGAGAAAGGGGAGGTACCAGTGACAAAACTGTCAGAATGTTGATTTTTAAAATGTAGGCCCTGAAGGGTTAAATTGTTAAGTCTAGGACTTAAAAGATAAAACTTTCTGCACCTCCTGATAGCCTTGATGTTACCAGCAGGTTTTTGATACATTGTTGCTATCACTTAGTATCTGTGACCACTGTACAATTAGAGGTTTGTGGGATTAAGTCTGGGAATTTGCCTGACCTGAACCACAGCCCCCAGGTATTAAGCCTCAATTTGTACTTTTATCACTCAAATAAGCCTGTGTTTGTTTATTATTTGAAAAACATTGAAACTATTTGCTGTGAGTCAAGAGATTGTCCTTGGAATATCTGATGTCCAGGACAGAAAGATACCACTGCAATAAGCAAAACAAGTTGATGCTGTAAGAAATGAGCAGCTTGGGCGGAAGCTCTGAATAAGGGATTTGCGGGCATTACAATACTGTAGATGAAGGTGGGGTTTCAGTAAACCTCAAAGTTGTTAGTGAAACTGGTTGAGCTAAAGATTATGTGAAAAGTAGCTCCAAATTGGTCTCTATTCTCCAGTGATTTGTCTTTGTGTTTCTTTGTTGAACAGTTTTTAAGTGAAAAAAGGGTGTGTGTAGAGTGTACCAATGTTTTATCATTTTCCCCTAGATTACCAATAAAAGCAAAGAGTCAACATGGGCCTTAATTCACAGTGTGAGTGATGCTTTTTCCGGCTGGTTGTTGATGCTCCTTATTGGGCTTTTATCAGGTATGGTAAACTGTTAGTTTTCAAAACAAATCTCCTAAAATTGTGGTATGTCTCTCCCATAAGTCCTGAGCTGAGTCAGGTACTGTGCTTTCCTATTTTTCTACCTTAAATGAATTGCTGGTGAACCTTGTAGAAGCTCGATGTCCCCATCTGTAAAGGATACTAAGACCTGTAATTCTTACCTTAAATAAATGAGGAAATGCATTTAAATGTATTTTGTACACTATAAAATACTGTATCCATTTTAAGGTGATGTTAGCCATTTGGTGCTTGTTTTGAGGAAGAGCCCTTCTGTTGGAGATGGTTTTTTGTTTGTTTTTTTTCTTTTTTTCTTAAATATATACTGCATGGGTTTTAGGAGATAAGACGTGGAAGAGGACTTCCTGAGACATTTTGTAGGTGTTTCTTAAACATCTACTCTCTCATTTGGTGATGCAGAAAAGTATGTAAGATATGGCTCATACTCCCAAGAAGCTTATGATCTCATTCTTTCACAGTGGCTGGGGGTGGAATGGTGCCACCTTGCCCTATAAACTCCATCAATCTCCCCCGCCACTCCAAATAATATACAGTCTCACTAAAAATGGTATAGTTGCTGTACAAATACAGCTTTCAACCAAGTTCCCAAGAAGGTTTCTCACCCAGTGGAGGAAGCAGAGGGCCAAGGACACTAGGTAGAGATGGTAAGAGGTGTGTCCTTATGGCATTAAAGGATAGGGCCTAGGCAAATCTGTAATCTTGAGCTGAAAGAGAAGTTACGTGGAAACCTGGAGGTGGAAGGTATACAGTGGTAGTTAACAGCAAGTAGATGCTCTAGTTTTAGGCTGCCTGGATTTGAATCCAAGCCCCACCACTTGATAGTTTTGTGGCTTTGAGCAAGTTTCTTAACCCCTGGAAGCCTTAGTTTACTGCTCTGTAAAATGGTGATAATCAAAGTCCCTATGTTAGAAGTGTGCTGTGAGGATTAAATGAGATATAGCACATAATAGCACTTATTAAGCACAGCAGCCGGTTGTTAATGTTGCTGCCGCTGCCGTTACCAAGAGAGAATAATTCATGAGCCATGAAGTAGAATGTGACTGTAGCAAATGAGGAATGGCTTATCTATAGCTGGGTTTTCAAAAATTGTGTAGGGCAGGGATTGGCAAACTTATGCTTTAAAGAAGCCAGATAGTAAATATTTTAGGATTTGTGGGTCAAGTGTTCTCTGTAGCACCCACTCCATTCTGCTGATGTGGCATGAAAGCAGCCATAGACCATAGGTAAACAAACAAGCCTAGCTGTGACCAGAAAAACTTTATTTGCAAAAATAGGAGATAGGCAGGATTTGGCCCTTGGGCTATAGTTTGCCAACCCATGGCCTGGGGTGTTAACTCTGCCCCTTCTGGCTCTTACAGGAGAGAGAACATGGTCTGGCTGTTTGGAGCTGCCTAATAATAGACTGGGTGGTCTGTAATGCTAAGTATTGCAGAGAGGCTGAGGAGAAGGAAGATGGCTGAGAAAAGATTATATGACCTAGCAGTTAGGAACACAGCAGTTGCCTTGAAAAGCCGTCTCAGAAAAATATTAGGAGCTAAATCTATTCGGTTGGTGCAAAAGTAATTGCATTACTTTTAATGGCAAAAACTGCAATTGCTTTTGCACCAACCTAATAGATTTCAAGGGAAGGCAACCACTGTAGAAGTTTTGGTAGTCATAGGAGAGAGAGGAAAGGTAAAGGCTTGAAATGATAACAAGGAAAAGGGACAGCATTTTATTCTTCAGGGTAGGGGAAACCTAATAAAATTTGTAACCAGAGAAGAAAGAACTGACTCTGGGGAGGAGGAGAGGTAGAAGGAGAAGACAGGATTGAGGGTACCAGTGTTAGGTGAAATAAGACATGCACACATGAAACAACCAGAGAATAAGCCAAACTGTATAACATCATGGTAATTTTCTGAATCCAGGCAGTAAGAGTTAGAAGGCAGAGAAGATTGTGGACCGGAGTGGCCAAGAGTAGGTGTCAAACAATGTGTTAGATTTGACTAGATTCTTCAAATATGTAAATAACCTGTGTTAACACTTTTAGCACCTACCAAAACATACACATGACATGGCCTCCCGCCTGTTGGAATGTAGGCATAATATCCTCAAACTTTTAATGTATTTCTTGTCACTAGGTGGTCAGTGAATATTTTTCTTTCCCTTGTACACACAGGGTATTTTGTTTTTAAGCATTGGAGAGCAACAATAGAAGCAGTGTGTCTGAATGCTGGAACAGTCTGGGAATTCAGAGACTGTGAATTTTATGATGGCTTTACTGTTTCCCTAAAGCATGATTCTGGGCCATTTAATTTCTTTATGCTAGAGTTTCTTCATCTGGATGACAGAAATGATGAGAAGGCCAGAATCTAAAGTACTATAACTGTCTTAACCCTATCAGTCTATTAGCCACAGTGCATAAGACCCCAGTTCACGATTCCGTTTCCTCATCATTTTCTTTGGTGAATGTTCTGTGTATAATACTGTTTGCTCTTTCTCAGTAAGAAAACTTCAGGATGTTCATGTCTTAGGTTCAGGAGACTTCAACATGTCTATAGCTTCATCTCACCTTCCATGCACATCACAGTTTGTGCTTTGATAAATTCAGCTCCTTTAGCCTAGAATGCCTTCCTGCCATTGCTCAAATTCCCTTGTCCATGGAGCACAATCCTGCTATCAGGGCTTAGCCCTTCTCCCCATAATCTTCGTCAGCTCTCCTCTCTAAGCAATCTCAAATAAACATCATAGAATATTCCTCAATGTTGGGCAATTCACATTTTCTGAAACTTGTGTGTGTGTGTGTGTGTGTGTGTGTATATATATATATATGTGTGAGAATAAAAGAATCTTTAATAAACTTGACTCTTTATGGATCAGTATTCATAAAGTTGAAGTCAAAATAGTGTTTTTGTCTTCTTAGTTCAGCTTAAAGACAGGCCCACTAGCCCCTTGCTCCCACTCACCCATTTTGCTTTCCCTAAGTCCCTTCTATATAGAAATTCTACAGATGGCAATGTTTAGTGCAGAGATAATAAGTGAAAATCAAGCAAACACACAATGAGAAAGAGGTTACAGGTGGAATGGGGAAGTATGTGCTCATCTGTTGCTTTGATTCCTTTCCCCTCATTTTCTCTGACAAAGCTTATTCTGAGGACCAAAGAACAGTTTCTGAGATTCAGTTTAACTTTGGCCTTTCCCTCCCTCCCCACAAATCAGGTTCATTAGCTGGTTTGATAGACATCTCTGCTCATTGGATGACAGACTTAAAAGAAGGTATATGCACAGGGGGATTCTGGTTTAACCATGAACATTGTTGCTGGAACTCTGATCATGTCACCTTTGAAGAAAGAGACAAATGTCCAGAGTGGAATAGTTGGTCCCAGCTTATCATCAGCACAGATGAGGTAACGTGTAGTGATGTTTTATGAGCCATTGACTTTTATTCTTACATTTATTTTGTTTCTTATACTGTGCTCACAGCAATTGCGGAATCTTCCTTTATTTTCCTTTCCACAGAAAGGGGAACCAGTACCAGCTGCCTTTCTCTGTGGTTTAAGTGCAGCTCTATTTCCATCTCTGCTGATGTGTGGAGTCATTTGACGCTTATGTTTAAAATGGTTTTTTGTTAGCTTTAATAAGCCTGGTGTTTCTTCTTTGGTACTAGTACATAGTGTGACTGAATTTCTTTTTTTTTTCTAATTATTTCAAAAGAAGTGTCAGAGGCAGCCAACAGGTGAGCTATAATTTCTAATGAAGGATGGAGTGGGTTAAAAATGTGTTTATGCATATAGATACAAAAAATGATTTTCCCTGAGCATTACATTAGAACATTGAAAAAAGTACAATGCATTCCATGTCAAAATAACAGAAACCCAGGAATAAAATTGCCTATCATCCCATTTTGTGATCAAATCAATATTTTAATTTGTCCTTGTCTTCTAGCACTTTTTTTGTTTTCTTGAGACAGGGTCTTTCCCTGTCACCCAGGCTGGAGTACAGTGACACGACCATAGCTCACCGCTACAGCCTCGACCTCCTAGCCTCAAGCAATGCTCCCACCAATCCTCCTCAGGAGTAGCTGGGACTAAAGGCGTGCACCAACACACCTAGATTATTTACTTATTTATTTATTTATTTATTTATTTTGTAAAAATGGATTCTTACTGTGTTGCCTAGGCTGGTCTCTAACTGTTTGGCTCAAATGACCCTCCTGCCTTGGCCTTCCAGAATGCTGAGATTACAGGCATGAGCCACTGTGCTTGGCCTAGCATACGTTTTTTGATGCTAAGGTAACTTTGCTTATTTTTCAGTTCCTTACCTTTCTTATACCACTCAGTTATATGTTTGATCTCTCCCACTGAAAACAAAGCACACAAAGCAAAAAAACTCTCAGCTCCCAATTCCACCCTGACTTCCGCCAACAAAGACAGGTACCATCTTAGTTCACTACTCATCTATTTTGTTAGTGAGGGAAACAAGACTAGGATGTATATTTGTACTTTTAAACATTTATATTACCCACCTTGGTCTACAAACAATTTGAGGTGGCATGTGCACACACATACAGAAATACAAACAGTCCAGGGAAAAGGAGGATAGGAAAAGAATAAAGATAGAAATAGGAGTGTTTATATACATATATGACTATGCATATTGGCTTAGGTAAAGGGTTCAATAAAAGGGATAGATACATGCTGTATGTTTGAGAGGGTTTAGGTCTATGCTTCTCAAACTAGGGTAAGGTCAGCATGCCAGAGGGTAGGTGAAACCATAGGACAAACGTTATTTGCCTTCCTAGAGCATTACTTTTTCCTGAATATTTGGCATTTTTTTCAAAAATTATGTGTAAATAATCATTTAAAATGGAATGCAAAATTTCATACTTGTTAAGAAAAAAAAAAAAATCTTTCAGCTCTGCTCCCAGGTACCCTGTCCCATACTCTGATGCCTTTGTTTACTCTCTCCTAGATTAGGAGAACTTAGGTAGAAAAGTTTGAGAAGTCCTGCGACTTAGGGTGAGAGAGAGAGAGAGAGAGAGTATTTCCCTTGCTTTTGGGGGGATTCTTTTATTTTAAACATAATTGGCCAGGCATGGTGGTCTGTAATCCCAGCACTTTGGGAGGCCGAGGTGGGTGGATCACCTGAGGTCAAGAGTTTGAGACCAGCCTAGCCAATATGGTGAAACCCTGTCTCTACAAAAAAAAAAAAAAAAAGTATATGTGTATATATATATATATATATATATATATGGATGCCAGGTGTGGTGGTGAGCGCCTGTAATCCCAGCTACTCGGGAGGCTGAGGAAGGAGAATCACTTGAACCTGGGAGGCAGAGGTTGCAGTGAGCTGTGATCGTGCCACTGCACTCCAGCCTGGGCGACAGAGTGAGACTCCAACTCAAAAAAAAAAAAAAAAAAAAAAAAAAAAATCCTCTCCTCCAAGGACTGAGTGAGGTGTGCCTCATGCCTGGAATCCCAGCACTTTGGGAGGCTGAGGAGGGAGGATCCCTTGGGGCCAGGAGTTTGAGGCCAGCCTGGGCAATATAGCGAGACCCCTGTGTCTAAAAATAAAAACTGGGCATGGTAGCAACCACCTATAGTCCCAGCTACTCGGAAGGTGAGGTGAGAGGATTCCCTGAACTCAGGAGATCCAGGCTGTAATGAGCAATGATAGTGCCACTGCACTCCAACCTGGGCAATGGAATGAGATCCTGTCACACACACACAAAAGTAATTACAGATTCATAGGAAGTTGCAAAACGGTGTACAAGGAGGTCCTCAGTACCCTTCCCCCGAGCCTTCCCTCCCTCAGTGGCAACAGCTTGCATAACTGTAGTACCACAGCAAAACCAGGAAATTGACATAGGTACAATCCACAGGCTTTATTTCACCAGTTTTACACACATTGATTTATGTATGTATTTGTGTGTGTGTGTATGCACGCACACATGTAGTTCATTGCAATTTTATCCCATGTGGACATTTGTTTAACCACCACCACAGTCAAGATTTAAAACTGTTCTATCACTGCAGGGCTCCCTCATGCTGCCCCTTTATATGTGTGTAAGTGTTCCAACAGTTACTTTAAAATTGGAGCTTGAGATTTGCTCTGGTGACAAATTTCTCCAGCTCTTCTTTTTATGAATGAAATCCTTCCTTGGGGAAAGAGTCCTCTAGGTTTTGTTTTTTGTTTTGTTTTGTTTTTTGAGACGGAGTCTCGCTCTGTCACCCAGGCTGGAGTGCAGTGGTGCAATCTGGGCTCACTGCAAGCTCCGTCTCCCGGATTCACGCCATTCTCCTGCCTCAGCCTCCCGAGTAGCTGGGACTACAGGCGCCTGCCACCACGCCTGGCTAATTTTGTTGTATTTTTAGTAGAGACGGGGTTTCACCGTGTTAGCCAGGATGGTCTTGATCTCCTGACCTCGTGATCCACCTGCCTCGGCCTCCTCTAGGTTTTAAGAAGCCTTCTCCAAATGGCAGGAAATTGGCCTCCTGGTCTCTGCCTTTGGCCAGTTTGAGTTACTTTTCCTTTCACTCCTTTACCCTCTATGTTTCCTACCTCTGCAGTCTTCTTCCTCCTTAGCGACATTGGAAAGGCAAAGAAATAGCAATCATGTGTTCCTCTGAGGGCCTAAGATAATGGAAAACCTGTGTCAAATTTACAACTCAGAAAAATCCTGAGCATTCTGGTTCTCTTTGTCTAGGTCAGTGAGTTACTTTAATAGTGTTTTGTGTTTTGAAAAGTCAAAAGTCCATTGAGTTTTGTATTTTATGTAAGTTGAGTGAGTTGCAATTCCTAATATTTCTACCAGTAAACATAACTTCCTAATCAAAATTGCTTTTTTTGTAAGACATGACTATTTGCAGGCCCTTTAGTATGGATGAATCTTTCCTGCTGGTCAGAGCTAGATTTCTTTTGTGGCATGCTTCGTTTATCACAGGGGAATAGTCTCAAAAAGTGTATTCTTTCCATTTTAAAAATAGTTGTTTCCATTTTATTTATTTGTATCTGGTATTGCCAGGGTCCAAAACTTTCTACTTATAAGGTTGTTGCTGAGTCTGTGGTACTAAAATTTTCTTGAAGATGTAGTTATATGTGGACTCTAAAAAAGAAAGTTGAGTAAACAGAACCAGAGAACAGAATGGTGGTTACATGGGGTATGGAGGAGGAGGAAACGGGGAGAAGTGAGCCAAAGGGTACAAATTTGCAGTAAGGTAGGGTGAATAAGTCTAGAGCGCTAATGTACAGTAGAGTTAATAATGCTGTATACTAAAAATTTGCTAAGAGTAGATTTTAGATGCTCTTACTGCACATACAAAGAAAGGTAACTATGGAAGGTGATATGCATGTAAGTTTATTTCGATGTAGTAACAATTTCACTATGTATGTATATAAAACATCATGTTGTACACCTTAAATACATACAATAAAAAATTTAAAAAAGTAAAGAAAAACCAAACACTCACAATTTTGTTACTATAAACTATGAGAATTTGACACCAAGGTACGTAGCCAAAGGTGAATTTAGTGGAACTTTAGATCTGCTCTTCACTTGAAATGTGAAGCCAAGGTTCAGCCATTCCAAAAAAGGGGGAGGAGGTGCTCTTAAGACTCTTGGTAAAATGATATAGAATCATGTATATTTGACTACAAAACCCATCAAAGCACTCATATAGAAAGAGAATTTTGTTTCAAGGTTTTCAGTTTGCTCTTTTCCTTGTTCATCCTTAGAATCCATGGTAAATTTCCTTTGGGTATAGCAAAGCATCTCATTTTCAGTACTAAGTGGCCTGACAGTGTTTCAGTAGTTGACGATTCAGAAAGAAACGTCTTGAACAATTTAATTTTGGTGTTGTTTTTTTTTTTTTTTTTTTTGGACTTTTTTTCCTGAAAAAAACATTACTCAGAAGAGCTGCATGTCTTATTGAAACCGTCTAGGCTAAAACAAGCTTCTTTTTCCCCCTGTTCCAGGGAGCCTTTGCCTACATAGTCAATTATTTCATGTACGTCCTCTGGGCTCTCCTATTTGCCTTCCTTGCCGTATCTCTTGTCAAGGTGTTTGCGCCTTATGCCTGTGGCTCTGGAATCCCTGAGGTGAGTCTGTTAAAATGGTTTATAAATGGTAACAATATGAATACTTTTTGGTTAAAATCTCTTAATATGTATTCCAGCACATACCACAATTTGATGACTGTTAAACAGGATCGGATCCTGAGGCCATCTAAGGCCTAGGTCTTTCCACAAGTCCCTCTCAGTCTGGGCTACCTGGAAATTAAAGGGAGTTGATTCTTAGCCTCCTGAGGGTTCCTGTTGAGCCAGGCGCTGGAAAACCTCCCCTGTTCACTATCCAAAAAGCTTCCAGAGTATATCCCAAGATTCTGAAAAAACAGTGTTATTGTCAGCTTTTTCAGAGCAAAAGAAAGAAAATCATTTGGTACCTTTCCCACAGTATGATTTAGGCTACATGGGGTGGTTAAAACCCTGTTTCTAACTACTTTTGGCTTAGATTGCTTGACAGTGACTGAAGACACTGAGACTTAGATTACCAGGATGACTTTGCCCTTCCCCGTTTCCTGACCAGGTAATAAGTCACTTTTTTTTTTTTTTTTTTTTTTTTTTTTAAAGCCAGGGAATCAAGACTATACCTAACCTTTAAGGTTGTTTCAGGGACATTAGCCTTATCTTCTCAAAACATGCCTCTTGGGCTACCAGGTTGTAACAAGAGGCAAACACCTATCCCTCCCTCACCAGCTCCTCCTTCATATATGCACACTCTCATATTTACAATACATCCTTGTCCAGCTATCACTCCCCTCCCCCTAAAAAGAGGGAGAACATGAAAGCTTAAAGAAGAGTTCTTGCTTTCTTTGGCTCCTGGGCTCCCTTCCAAACAGGGATCACTGTAGGTCAAGCATTTATATGTCACTTATTCCAAAGGTGCAGTTTCTATAATGAAGTCCAGATTTTTCTGCTTAACCTTGTTGACTTCCTTAGTCTATATTCAATCTTTCTTTCTTTGACCTGCAGATAAAAACTATCTTGAGTGGTTTCATTATTAGGGGCTATTTGGGTAAGTGGACTCTGGTTATCAAAACCATCACCTTGGTGCTGGCAGTGTCGTCTGGCTTGAGCCTGGGCAAAGAGGGCCCTCTAGTGCACGTGGCTTGCTGCTGTGGGAACATCCTGTGCCACTGCTTCAACAAATACAGGAAGAATGAAGCCAAGCGCAGAGAGGTAATAATGAATGGCCTTAATAGTCTCTTTTTGGTTGTGACCATAAATGATACAGTCTTAGGGGGTGAGAATTTGAGGGTTCTACCAATGTTAATGTAAACACCCTTTGACCCAGCAATTCCACTTGTAGGAATTTATCCTACAGACATCCTAGCATGTGTGTGCACAAAGGTGTATAAGGATAGTGCAGCATCTGTCAACATAGTAAAAAACTACGAAGCAACAAAAATGTCCGTCAACAGGGAACTGATCTAATAAATACTATTCTGTTCATACTGTAGAATACTTTGCAACCATTAAATGAGACAACCTTATATATATTGACTTGGAATTCTGGCTATGAAACACCATTAGATTTTAAAAGCCAGTTTCTGAATAATGTATATAATATAATTCATATTTTTTTAAAGTGTACATGCACTTATTGATAGAAAATGTCTGGAAAGTGGCTTTACCCCAAACTGGTTTTACTTTTTTTTTTTTTTTTTTTTTTTTTTTTGAGACAGGGTCTCACTCTGTCACCCAGACTGCAGTGCAGTGGCATGATCATGGCTCACTGCAGCCTCGACCTCCCTGGGCTCAGATGATCCTCCCACCTCAGCCTCCCAAGTAGCTGAAACTACAGGCACACACCACCATACCCAGCTAATTTTTGTATTTTTTGTAGAGACGAGGTTTCACTATGTTGCCCAGGCTGGTCTCGAACTCCTGCGCTCAAGCAATCCTCCTGCCTCAGTCTCCCAAAGTGCCGGGATTACAGGCATGAGACACCATGCCTGGCCTATGCCAAACTGTTAAAAATGTTTATCTATGGTGAGTGGGAGAGTGAGGGGTAGTGAAGGAGAAGTAAGAATTTTAAGTTTTTATTGTATATAATTGTATTCAAGTATATATTGCTTCTCTTACAAAATAAGTAATAGAAAGAATAGATTTTAAAAGAAGTTGTTTATTGCTATGGAATAGTACATATAAGTGCAGTGTATGTTTCAGATGTTGGTTTTTTCACCTTCTATTTCTATCTAACATTATACTTGAATTAGTTTCTCTCTGTATTGGACCTCTCTCTACCTTTTGTTTCAGCCCAGCTAAATTAGTCCCACCACAGCAACTCTGTAGTGGTTGTCATGTTTATGCAGTTGTTAATGTATGCTGTTTTGAGGAGGAAGGACTTTTTTTAAAAAAATGTTCCAAGTCATTGGTTTACTTTTTTCTTGCTATAATTAAGGGCCTAAGAAAATAATGGCTCTTGCTTTATTTTCTTTGAATTACAAAGAAGTCACATATGGAATGGGTCAAGATCAAGGTCATTTCATTTAAAAGGATTTTTCACAAAACAGGAACCTAATGATTTCTTATGAAAACCAAAAAAAAAAAAAAAAAAAAATTAACCACAAGACCCAGAAGGAAACTCAAAGATACTGAGATTTCAAATATAGAATAAATTTTGATGGTTCGGTTCAAGGGAGAAAGGTCCTGGCACAGTTAGAAAAGAGAGGAAAGCTAGCAGGAGAGAAGATGGGGAAATATGAAGATTGTTTAACTAACTGTCATGCAGTAGAGGGACTTAAAGGCAGTGTTAAATTGGTGAGGTTGTTAAATGGGAATGATGTTCAACAGAAGGGAAGAGTTGAAAAAACATTTTTTTTTTTAGAAAGGCTTTATTAGAACAGTTATGAAATTTGAATGAGATTTATAGATCATATAACAGTTATTAGTGTAAATTTCCTATTTTGATCATTGAACTGTGATTATGGAAGAGAATGTCTTTGCTTTTAGGACAAAAAAACATTTATATCCTAAATGCACTGAAACATTTCAAGGTACATGAGCCTTATATGTGCAACTGACTTTTCTGAGTGAAATTCCAATTCTTCAGAAAAAAATAGAGAATCATAAAACAAATGCAGCAATAGTAGCAATTACAGAATCTACATGAAGATATGTAGGAATTCTTTGTGCTGTTCTATCACCTTTTCTGTGTTTGAAATTTTTAAAGAAAATATTATAATGGTTAACAGTGAAGTGGTGATTGTTGCTGGTTTTGCATGGATGAAGGTAAGTTTGAAACTACAGATTGCTGGGGACTTTCATTCTAAAAATTGGCATTTTTGTTCAAATAGTTTCTAATAAAATAAGAGGGGAATTTGATTTGGCTGTTTCTCTATACAGATGCCATATATTTCTCCAGCTAGGCTCATATGAATGTAGTCATGTCTCAATGACAGGGATACGTTATGAGAAATGCATTGTTAGGAGATTTCCTCACTATGCAAGCATTATAGATTGGACTTACAGAAACTTAGATGGTCTAGCCTACTACACACCTAGGCTTTTATAGCCTATGGCTCTTAGGCTACAAACATGTACAGTATGCGACTATACTGAATACTGTGAGCAATTGTAACACAATGGTAAATATTTGTGCATCTAAACATAGAAAAAGTGCAGTAAAAATATAATTTTATGGGGCCACCGTGTTGTATGTGGTCCATCATTGACTGAAACATTGTTATGTGGTGCATGACAGTATATGGATCTTTTTTTTTTTTTTTTTTTTTTTTTTGAGACAAAGTCTCAGTCTGTTGGCCAGGCTGGAATGCAGGAGTGTGATCTCAGTTCACTGCAACCTCCATCACCTGGGCTTGAGCAATTCTCCCATCTCAGCCTCTCGAGTAGCTAAGACTACCCGCACATACCATTATACCCAGCTAAGTTTTAGAATTTTTTTGTAGAGACTGGGTTTTGCCACGTTGCCCAGGCTAGTGTTGAATTCCTGGGCTCAAGTAATCCTCCTGCCTCAGCCTCCTAAAGTGCTGGGATTACAGGCATGAGCCACCACAACCGGCTAGTATTTGAATCTTAAATTTACTTTCTAGTACTTATTTAGACTTTCCAGTTATTTTTTCCTGTTGCTTTCATCATCAGTGGCAACCTTTTTTGTCTTATGGCCTTGTCAAAGTGGGCAGATGGTTGAGAGTAAAACAGACTTGAGAAAGAAGGGTGTAGACAGACTCTACTCTGCAATATAAAATTAAAGCAAACTAGCCACCCCTATTTTTTCTTTCTCTTAATTCATCCTAAATGTAGTCACTGAACTCCCCCTTCTCGAGTTGCATGTTGGCTGTCCTCATCTTAAATGAAAGCCATTGTAGCTAGGAATTTCAAAGCCCTTACAGCTAGCACCAGAGACTTCACTCTTTCCTCCCCATCATTTTCCTGAGCCATCCTACTCTCCCAGATAATCCAGTATGCTTATTTTGCCAAGGACCTTTTTATTCTTCAAAACTCATAATTTTGTTCAACTTTCTTTAAAATATTTCTTCTTCAAATCATCTTTCTCCATAGCAACCAGAATCCAATGAAAGGACTTGGTCCATCTGTTAATTTTGGTTTGTTTGCCATTACTAGTGTTTGTGATGTACATTTTACATGTACACACACACCTACACAGAGCTGGAGGTCTCTAAGTATCACTATTCTCTTTCTCTCTTTATCACTTTTTCCCTTTGGCTCCTTCTTCCTCTCCCACTCTCTCCTAGTCCCTTTCCTTGCCATATCTTAAGTCTTCTCTTAAAAATCTAGTCACCTCCCTATTTCTGTGTCCACAGGTTATTAGGCATGGAGTAGGACACAGGGGTATGGGAGACTCTAAATACCTATTGCATGAATTCTTGCAGCTGCTGAATAACTGTGAACCAATTGTGACTTCAGTTTTATGTCATTAGAGCCTTCTTGAACATCTCATTTAAAAAGCATTCCTTTACAAAGTGCTATATAAATACATCACTGTAAGTACATCATTTAAATGGTGAACAAATAGGTCTAGAAACTCAAATGCAGTTACTGAATTGGGAGTATGGGAGATGGGGGGCATAGTTTAGAATAAAGCACATGGCTAAATGAATTACAAAGGAAAGGTCCTCTTTACCTGGTCAAGCATGTGAACTATGCATGTGTATTCAAAATTCAGCATACAGTGTTTGAATTTTGTTTTTGATGATATGGAGCATATGAAGGTATTTTTAAATGTTCAGTAACTACTAACATTTCTTCTAAAAATGTGATTGAGTGGAGGAAAGCAGCATTATTCTATCACTAATTTTGAGTTTTGGATTGTAGGTCTTGTCGGCTGCAGCAGCAGCTGGTGTATCTGTAGCCTTTGGAGCACCTATAGGGGGAGTATTATTCAGCCTTGAAGAGGTAACAACTTTTCATTGTACAGCATGTGCATGTTTTTGTGTCAGGAACTTTGTACACTGCAGCGCAATAATTTTGTACATAATGTACAATATCTGTGTATATCCCAGTCCCTGAGTACTCTCCGCAGCTTGGTGCTTTACCATGTGACTAGAAATCCAATGGGTAGTTTTCATCCATGAGTTGACTCTACTGTCTGCAGCACAGCTTTTCACCTGAAACAGTTTCTACGTATTGACTTGAGTTTGCTTTCTCACCTTCTTTCTTCTAGGTCAGCTACTATTTTCCCCTCAAAACATTGTGGCGTTCATTCTTTGCTGCCTTGGTGGCAGCATTCACTCTACGCTCCATCAATCCATTTGGGAATAGCCGCCTGGTACTATTTTATGTGGAGTTTCACACCCCATGGCATCTCTTTGAGCTCGTGCCATTCATTCTGCTGGGCATATTTGGTGGTCTGTGGGGAGCGCTGTTTATCCGCACAAACATTGCCTGGTGTCGGAAACGAAAGACCACCCAGTTGGGCAAGTATCCTGTCATAGAAGTACTCGTCGTGACAGCCATCACTGCCATCCTGGCTTTCCCCAATGAATACACTCGGATGAGCACAAGTGAGCTCATTTCTGAGCTGTTTAATGACTGTGGCCTTCTGGACTCCTCCAAGCTCTGTGATTATGAGAACCGTTTCAACACAAGCAAGGGGGGTGAACTGCCTGACAGACCGGCTGGCGTGGGAGTCTACAGTGCAATGTGGCAGCTGGCTTTAACACTCATCCTGAAAATTGTCATTACTATATTCACCTTTGGCATGAAGGTGAGGAATTCTTTTGGGACTCAGTGGCTGCATGCGTGGCTGTGGGTTTTGGAGGGCAGAGCTCAGGTATCATACAATCCTGATAGCTCATATGGTGCTTTCAAATCCCCCTCACATTATTCCCCCACCCCTAAAGCCTCTTTTAGCCCACATGTTCTCATAATTTGCTAGACAGTTGTACCTCTATCTCAAATTGTCTAAGCCTTAAGCTATCCAAATGCCAGCCTCAGTGATGAAATTTTAGGAAGAATGTTTTCTCCTTTTCTGTGGAAAACATATTTTGCCACTCAAAAACGATGGTGAGGTATTTATTCCAGTACGTTTTATATTAAAATGATATCTGGCCAGCACAGTGTTACTCCTTATAGGGTGGCTTGAACCAGAGAAGTTGCTGGGATTCGACCATTTTGACTGCTAAAATGGCAATTTCCTGTGGTTCAACCCAATATATAGCTAAATATAGTTTTTACAGTGGGTATCAATGTTCAATTGTCAAGAAGTGGGATCCACTTCACAAGTTATCCTTAGTTAATATTTAAGCTATCAAAAGTGGACATCAGGCTGGCATGTTTTACTTTCAGTACCTGTTACTATTTCCATGTTTCAGAAGAAGCCAGAAAAGAAAATTTGTTGAAGTATTTTCCTCCTCCTTTCTAGGTTTTTGTTTGTTTGTTTCTTTTCTTTAGCACCCTAACTACCAAGTTACTTTCCTCTGTTCTCTAGAGAAATGGAGATTCAAGCCAGAAGAGATAGCAACTCAGTTTAGGCACCACTGTAATCTCTAAGATGACGCCATCCATCCCCTCAATACGGGGAAGGGATGGAGACCCTGGGAAGTTTTGCAGTGCTTCTTCAGTTAATTTTCACCTCATGCCTGCATTCTTTTGCTTAAAGGGAATTTGTAAACCATCAGAACACCAGATTCAAATGCATTCAAAAATCAAACACAGGCTGTTTAAAAAGAATCTGCTGTTTTGGTTGTCCTTATCATCATTTCCCTCTCTCAGTACAGAATATTAAGAATTTACTATAGTATCCTAGGAGTCAAGAAAAACAGTAGGGAGATAGATGAGCTTTCCTTTTTTGGTTAATCATGTAGCCATAGTCATGATCTCATTAAAACTTTTTGATTGTTTAATCTTTCTTGATATTGTTACAAAATAGACTGAAACTTCATGTGCTATATCCTTTTTGTGTGAGCAATGGGCTAAGATTCAATATATGAGCATGGTTATGAGCGTTCCATTTAAATCCCAGCACCAGTCTTCACTAAATCTTGACTTGGGTGGGCTACTTAACCTCTCTGAACCTTAGATTCTTTGGCATTTGGGAATAATAATACCTGCCTCCTGGGGTTATAAAGAACCCATGAATCTTGCATGTAGAGCATCCAGCATAGAACATGGTAGGTACTCAATAAACGGTAGTCATTGTTGATAAGAATTCAAAATTGGTGGAAATGTCTGCATATATGAGAAACTCCATCTATTTTCCTTTTTCTTTGGGAAAGGCCTAATTTCTGCCTCCAGTTCTGTGTTGGTCTGGAGACTTCAGGCTCTTGCCTGATGGACCCCGAATCAGGGTAAGCTTCTTTGCAGTCGTCCTTGCCTGCACGTCCCAGAGAACCTCTAGTCCCTGTAGTGTTACACAAATCTTTACAGCCACTTGCTAGCATAGTGCATAGTTAAATTGTCAATGGCCTGTTTGCTTTGCAGAGGGTCAGTCCTCCAGCCCTTGCCATGTGCCAAGCAATCATCATTTCTCACTAACCATCTATTGCTTTCTCTTCGCAGATCCCTTCTGGCCTCTTTATCCCTAGCATGGCTGTTGGTGCTATAGCAGGTCGACTTCTAGGAGTAGGAATGGAACAACTGGCCTATTACCACCAGGAATGGACCATCTTCAATAGCTGGTGTAGTCAGGGAGCTGATTGCATCACCCCCGGCCTTTATGCAATGGTTGGGGCTGCAGCCTGCTTAGGTGAGTAGTGTGTGCATTAATTTCAAAGAAGTTGCTACCCAGGTGACATACAACAGAAGAGTTTATTAAACACAATTAACTGTAGGAAAATTTAAATGCCCATCACTTTCCAGTTAAGTTTGCCATTTTCCAAGCACATTAAGAAAGCGTCTGATATACAGATGAGGAAACTAAAAAAATAAATAAATAAAAATCATAATAAAAAAGGAAGGGAATTCTACTCTCTCATACTGGGGAAATAATCAGAAATTTGGACAAAGATATCTGCACAAGAATATGTATCATAGTATAAGAGCAAAAAATTACAATCAACCTAAATATGCACATGAAGGACTGGTTAAATGAATTATGGTACATCCATATGATGTTATACAATGCAGCCTTTAAATATGATGTTAATATGTTTAACATCTTAAAATATAATGTAAATATGTTTAACATCTTAAAATATGATGATATATAAATTTGTAATAATATGCAAAATGTTCCCAACATAAAGTAGAGGGGGAAACACGGCAGAAAATTAAACATATAGTGTGAGCTCACTTATTTAAAAACGTATGTTTTTGCATAGAAAAAAACGTAAAAAAGTCATTCAAAATTTTTACTCTGCTTATTTATCAGCAGTGAGCTAATAGATAGTGACTTTCTTTTATATTTTCTGGATTTTCCACAGTGGGCATGTATTTTCTAATTAGGGAAAAGAAGCAACAGAAAAATGAAAGAACAAAGAAACAAGAAGGCATCTTGGACTGGACATGGTAGCTCACACATGTAATCCTAGCTACTTAGGAAGCAGAGGTGGGAGGATCGCTTGAGGTTAGGAGATTGAGACCAGCCTAGGCAACATAGTGAAACCCCAACTCTACAAAAAATAATAACTTAATTAGGTGTGGTAGCATGTGCCTGTAGTCTCAGCTACTCAGGAGGTTGAGGTGGGAGGATCACTTAAGCCTGGGAGATGGAGGTTGCAATTAATAATGATAACGCCGGTGCACTCTAGCCTGGGTGACAGAGCACAAAACCTGTCTCGAAAAAAGAAAGAGGAAAAAAAAAAAAAGAAAAAAGAAAAACAGAAGACTTCTTTTAGATGTTATTTTGAGAACTCTGAATCGTGTCCATTGTAACCTTGCTTTCTTGCGATCTCTGGAGTCTGCACGGTTGTAGGTGAGACCTCATTGTTTCTGGTAGGTCAGCTTTTCCTGGAAAGGCCCATAATTGTAAGAATCCTGTATTTTGCCTGCCTGAGTAGACTATGTCTATTTCTTTGCAGGTGGGGTGACTCGAATGACTGTGTCTCTTGTTGTCATAATGTTTGAACTGACTGGTGGCTTAGAATACATCGTGCCTCTTATGGCTGCAGCCATGACAAGCAAGTGGGTGGCAGATGCTCTTGGGCGGGAGGGCATCTATGATGCCCACATCCGTCTCAATGGATACCCCTTTCTTGAAGCCAAAGAAGAGTTTGCTCATAAGACCCTGGCAATGGATGTGATGAAACCCCGGAGAAATGATCCTTTGTTGACTGTCCTTACTCAGGACAGTATGACTGTGGAGGATGTAGAGACCATAATCAGTGAAACTACTTACAGTGGCTTCCCAGTGGTGGTATCCCGGGAGTCCCAAAGACTTGTGGGCTTTGTTCTCCGAAGAGATCTCATTATTTCAATTGGTAAGGATTTCAGAAAGGGGATAGTGGAATCCACTGTGGAACTCAATATGTATGCATGAAATGGGGGAAGACAGGGAAGAGGGGACTGGTTAGGAGCCAGAAGGATAGAACTAGCACGTCCATCTTCAATTTACTTTTTCTTTCTGTTTGAATAGAAAATGCTCGAAAGAAACAGGACGGGGTTGTTAGCACTTCCATCATTTATTTTACGGAGCATTCTCCTCCATTGCCACCATACACTCCACCCACTCTAAAGCTTCGGAACATCCTGGATCTCAGCCCCTTCACTGTGACTGACCTTACACCCATGGAGATCGTGGTGGATATTTTCCGAAAGCTGGGACTGCGGCAGTGCCTGGTTACACACAACGGGTAAGAAGTCTTGAGTGAAGGCAAATTGGATTGTGGGAGAAAAGAGAATGCAGAAAGAGAAAGAAGTAGAATCCAGTTTAAATGAACATTAGTAGCACTTTAGGACTTTTTGAAGCTCTGAGATGAAAGTGGATAGGTTTGCAAAATCATAATTAGTGTAAAAGGAGTTTGGGAAAGAACATGTGTTTGAGAGATATGAACTGCTGGTTGCATCTTATAAATAACTCAGTTCCTCCCTGACAAAGGAAACAGCTGTGTTTTGTGCATAGGCAGCACTGAAATTACAATAGCATCAGGTAGTAGTATATTTGCTGGGTGTTTGTTCCCTGCAGTCTCCTTGTTATTATTACTTGAGGATGAGAAAACCAAGTTTCAGTGAGGTGAGATTTATACAAGGTTCCTCAGCTAACAAATAGTAGAAAAAGGCTTTAAACACAAGTCTCTGACTGCCAAACCTAAGGCTCTTTCCTTCCTGGGATAGTTCTTATCCAGTAAAGGGAACCCTTCTATTTTTATTGGAAAAGAAGGGAGGTTGAGGAGAGGGGTGGATTTTTTCCCCAAACATGTTATGTTAATCCAGCAATTATATAAGAATTTCACCTCTGAAATTTCTAAATGATGTGACAGATGCCTTGCAGGATTTAAATCAATAAGGGGACTTCCCTAACTGGTTCATTTAACATCTACTGAATCCCTGCTCCATGTAAGAAGGTATTCCACTAGATTCCAGGGAGACACAAAAATGAATAAGACTCTTCTGTGCCCTCAAGGAGCATGCAGTGTTTTAGGGAAGGCAAGAACCTAGCAGTGATTATAGTACGATAGCAAAGAAGACAAGTGCCACTGAGGAGGCCTGCAAAGAATGTGTATGCTGTTGCTGTGAGGAGGGCAGAGTTCCTGCTGGCTCATAGAATCAGGGAAGGTGCTCTGGAATAGGGGCATTTGAATTGGGCTGCAGTAGATAAGATTCAGATATGTAGTGAAGAGTATTTAAACCAGAGGAAATCGCAGGGTCTGAGACCTAGAGGTAGAAACACTTGCATACGTTGAGGAACCCACACATCATCCTATTTGCCTGGAGCACATGTCCTACTCCTGTGATCCCATACTGGAAGGGCAGCTAGTGATCAAAGACAAAGTTGAAAAGGAGGACAAGTATCACCTTTGGGAATGCTATTTTAAGTACAGATTTATTTTTGTTGTGTTGTGTTGTGTTTGTCTTTTAGGCGATTGCTTGGAATCATTACCAAAAAGGATGTGTTAAAGCATATAGCACAGATGGCGAACCAAGATCCTGATTCCATTCTCTTCAACTAGAATCATAGAGTTCTGGATATAAAGCAGGAAGGACATTACAGACCATGGATATGTTTTATTAACTGGGTACCCAAAACACATTTTCCATATTTGGATGGTGAAGTCGCATTAGTGTCTTGTCTCTTTCCTACAAGTTAACCAGTTGCACTACATAATCTCTGGTAATTAATTTTCTCTTTAGGAGAAATTACAGTTAGGCTTCCGTGATGTTACATTAGGAAGATCTCATGAAAGAATAAATAAGATTGCTGTGGTTTAATTATATTTGTTTTTTTTTTAAGATTTTTTTAACTTAAAAAGTAGTTAGCCAATATGCAATCACTGAAAACTATGCAAGAAAAATTCCAGCCGTCCTGACCTATAACCTGTAGGAAACTGATGAAAAGTCACTCTTTTGGGATCTAACTGTTGTTACTGGAAGACAAAGTGTAAACTAAGGGGCTTTGCTTTTTCAAACCAGAGAAAGGAAAGCCAGAAGGAAAAGAGTAATGGTATTTTCTAGACTGTGAAGATTCAGTTCAAATGTTATCCTTGTTCCTGTTACAATATTTAGCATTATTAGTTTGTTATGTATGTATGTTTATGTTAATTTTAATTTTGATTATAAGACAATGCTGCTTTGGTTAATCTCTTCTAAATGAATTTAGAGAGATTGACTTTTATAGCTTGCTTGTTCCTGGTACTCTTTTGAAGTGCACAAAGATAAGTTATAGAGCTTTCTCCTTGTCTGCTAAAAGGGTAATTTTCCAGGTGGCATTTGTTAGCTGGTACACAAGGACTTTGCCATGAATTTGTTAGTAGCAAGGAATGATTTCTTCCAGCTTCCTTGAAATGAATAATTAGTAAACTTTTAAGCAAAGTCAATGAGTAGGAGTTTCACATTTTTGTGAGGTCCTAACTAATTCTCTTACCCAGATGCCACCTCCATGAATGATGGTGCTTTAGGCTTCTGGAATATGTAAGAACAGCAAAGGGAACCAAGTCTAGACTGAATACTGGTAAACCAGGGAAGATTCAGAACTGCATCTGCATCCTCATGCATTCCTTTGTAAAGACCACCAGTACTAAAATAACTGGACACCTCATTGCACCTCCCAGCGATAAGTACGTGTAGCAGGCCAGTGTATTGTCCCCATGAGCATGAATTAGGCTTGGGATACTTCCAAATATATTCAAGGTGTTGGAACAGGATAGGCAGCTGTGACTCCTGCAAGAGTCCTTAGAATTCTAAATAAAATGCAGAGCCATCCTAAGACCCAGGAGTATGGACAAGGCCTGGTGACACCAAAGGTGCTTGTATCCAATTGAAAAGGTGCCTGTCTCAATTTCATACCACCTTTATTGCAGTTAAAAAAAAAATCACACTCTGGGGACACTTGGTGGAATTACAGAGCCACCATCATCATTCTAACCACTATTTCATTTTCTGTAATTTTACCTATGTGCAATTACTCCCCCTCCATTCTGTTCCACTTCTTATCCTAGTACCAAATCCTCTGTTTGGGGCTGAGCACTGCTCCTGGTTAATCATTCCTACTACAAAAAAATAACTCCCAGGCCTAGTTAAATGGTAAACCAAGGCTCAGCAGTCTCACAACACGTGGACCAGAGGTGACACACAGCCATTTTCTTTGCCATGTGGCCCCGTTGCTGCTGCCATGCCTCCATTTCCACACTGGATGCCTATGGCAGTGAGATTTCACTGCCGGGGTAAGAGTTCAGCCTGGATCATTTTATAGCTCTGTTCCGAGCACTTCCCACCATCCTTCCAGCCCAGAATCGGTGGTCATTCTGCATATTCCCACCAACCTTCTACCCCCAAACACTTCAGTGTACCTCATTTTAAGAGTTGCTGATCCCTGATTCTAGGACATTTTTACCCCTAGTTCTTATCTTTCCAAAATCTGAAATTCCTTTTTTGGCTCAGAACTGGGTAGCCAAGGGTTATTTTATTTTTATCTTTAAAATAATCAAGGCGGTCGCTAGAGTTTCTCCTTGTGAATAGATGACTCTAGCACTTTAATGAAAAAGAAAAAATCTCTCTGGGATATGTTATATCATAGTCATGGCTCAGTAACTATGTATTTTGTCCTTTCCATGCCACTGATTCCTTCATATGAGACTATTTGACTGACTACCCTGTATATTGTGTAGAAATCAAAGTCCTTATCTGTACATTTCTGGTCCAATACCTGTCTTATTAGTTGTCCTTCCCCACTAAAGTTTGCAAAACAGAAAATGTTACTATTTCTGGTATTTAATGACAATGAAAGGTTTGGTCATATTTCATAGTGCAGTAGCGATAAGGAGGGTGTCTTAAGTTTGCCTTTGTGTTTCTTCTGGGCTTTGTTCTTGATTTTAGACAGATGAGCCAGTGTTAAGGTGCTACTTCAGAAAATACATTCGAGAAATCAGATAACACTGTGCCAAGGTATACTTTGTAGATGCTAAGCACCAATTGGCCCTCCAGAGAATGACAATATCCCTTTGATACCTCACTCCTGATCAATCTCATTCATTAACTTCAGCTTCTCAGGAATCCTTGTAGCTTACATGCTAGAAGTAGCTATAGTATATGGTATCCACTATACATCCAATCCTATGGTTTGGCTCAAAGTTTGGCTAATTGCGGCTAGAGCTCTCAACTGCTAGCTCAGCACCTTGACACTCTGTTTCTTGTCTTGTGGAAAAGGAAAATGTTCTTTCTGCCATTGCCACTTTAACAGTTGGACATGCTTAAGCAACAAATACAGCCAGTACAGAGAGGACTGTCAGTAGCATCAAATGGCCACATACCTCAATGGCAGAAGACTAGATGGTTTGTGATTTAAAAATTAATGAGTCCAGATGAGACTATTTTGGTATTAAATGAGAAAATTGCCTGACACAAGGGAAGGGTTTACAAAAGAATGCCAATTAGTGTTTCAACGGAGTTAGGATTTTCCAAGGAAGAGTAGCTGGTAGCCATCCAGCCATAAAATGAATGAGAGTCTATAGATTTATAAAAGTGAAACTACTATATTTTGTATCTTCAAATCTTCAATTTAAAGAATTTAAAGAACCTGAAACAGTTAATGCGTGATTCGTTATATTGAAGGGAAAAAACAGGGGACTGATAATACAAAATAATGGCAACTTTAAAGATCATTTCTACTTGGATGTTTGGTTAGAAACATATTCCAATGCTCTCCTCTTTCTCTGGCCACAGCATCCTGGCTCAGCCCAGCTGTGGAGTAGAGGTGGTAAGATCCACAGAACAGATATCCTCTGGTAGATAAGCTGACATTGATGATACTTTGAATTTGCCAGCTGGTGAAGCAAACGATTAATTTGTGATTGAACTGAAAAGCAGTTGAATTGTTTTGGCACCAAAGGCTGAATCTAAACCCTTTACAGGAAGAGCAGAGCATAGTATACATTTCTTAGCAAATTTTCAATTCTGTTTGAACATGATGAAGTAACCAGGGCTTAGTGAGATCTAAGGCCATGAAGTAATTCACAACCAAGATCTTATGAATGCATTAAGGTGTGAGGGGGCAAATATGTTTTCAAAAACTTCGTGTGCAATAGAGTCCATTATAGAAATTAACCACTGCTGTATGTTTTAAGTAGTTTAATCACCTGTTGCGGTTCAGTCTTGATTTTCGTTTATTTTACTAAGTGATGAGTAGGAAGATGTACTTGTTATCCCACACTATCTCTTGTTTTGTTTTTTTTTTTTTTAAATAATGAACAGTGCAATCTTTGAAGTTGAGTTTTTAATAATGATAGCGAAGACAATGGTGAGAACTTGAAACAGCTAACATATTTTATATTGCCAAAGTACTTACTGATGACTGACCACACTGTTTTGTGAGGAATTGGGTCCCCTACACTGGATCAGAGCCAAATGCAAGCCACCCATCAGTTCAGAGGAAGCAGGAGAACATCTTTTGGGTGGTTCATAGAACGTTGAGCTCTTAAAAACCCTGAGAAAAATTAGGAATTTAGAAAGTAAGTGGGAGGTAGAATATTGAGTCCTTTTTAAAAAAAAAAAAAAAAAAAATTAGATGTCTAAATATGTGGTCTGAACTTAAGTGTCCTAAAACTTTGATTTTTTTTTTTTTTTTTTTGAGAAGGAGTCTTGCTCTGTCGCCAGGCTGGAGTGCAGTGGTGCAATCTCAGCTCTCTGCAATCTCTGCCTCCCGGGTCCAAGCAATTCCCCTGCCTCAGCCTCCCAAGGAGGTGGGACTACAGGCGCACACCACCATGCCCGGCTAATTTTTGTATTTTTAGTAGAGACGGAGTTTCACCATGTTGGCCAGGATGGTCTCGATCTCTTGACCTCGTGATCTGCCCATCTTGGCCTTTCAAAGTGCTGAGATTACAGGCATGAGCCACTGCACCCAGCCAAACCTTGATTTTTTTAGCCACCTCTGGGATTGCCTGGGTTCCCTTTGGAGAAGAAACTAAGAGTTATAGCCATGGAAAAAGCCCTGGTAAGAAAATATTTGAATGGTGTAAGATGGTGGAAGGAAAGCCATCCCACACCCCTATAACATGTTCTGGCCTTTATAAACTGCTTGATCGTGTGCCCCAAGGGGAAAAAAAGTCAAGTAATCCTCCAAAGGCCAGGCTTTCTACGAAAATGAGTGGTTCAAAGCAGTGTTTGGCTCAAGGGCAGTCTAGTTTTATAGATAGGGCCAACCTAAGACATCTGCTCATGAAGAAATGTGGTATCTGTTGCCATTTCCTAAACTATAAGGTTTAGATAGATTGTCTTGAATTTTGATAGCAATTTTTTTTTAAATATATATTTTTGCCTCCTCGTATGTCCTTATTATATATATATATATATAAAAAGTGAGAGTTCCTCAGATCAGAGCTCAGGAGCTGCGTCAATTTGAAGTTCAATCGGTGTAGTTGTCCTGAGGTGATCGCTGACTCTGCTCTGTTTCATATTTCAGTTGCTTGCTCCAAGGAGAGAAGTTCTGAGAACAATGGCTGTTAGCAACTTTAAGTTACTCCCCAAAAGTTTGCTGGCCATATTCTCATTTCTAAACATCTGGATCTGGGTAAAGGTTTGAATAGATAGATGTAGGGAACAAAATTGGTTTTTCCATGGTGTAGTCTAATTTTGCCAAATCACCCAAGAAAGAAAGTATATGACATGTGGAGTTTGCATTTCTTGGATAGGACCTATCAGATCACCCAGCCCAGTCTTGCAGTCATAAATTCCTACCTCTTAGTTCCTGCCAAAGGGCCTTCAGCCTCTGTGTGCACACTCATTGAATGAATGCTTTGCCTAAAATTTGGCCTTTTGAAGAAAAACAGTATGTAATAATATAAAAATATGAGAGTTAAAAAAGAAAAGATCTCTGCCTCTCCTCTCTCTGCCTCATCCACCTTGCCATTTGTCTTGTTCTCTTTCTCTCCCCACACCATGCCCTGAATTCAAATTTCTCTTTGTTTTATTACAGGCATGTTGTTTTGAATGTGGACTTTGTGGGAGGGAGATGATTGTTCTGAGAACAGAAACTGGAAGATACTTCTGAGTTGATGGGACCAGCAGGGCTTTGCTCCTCTGTGAGGGCCAAAGCCATTGATACTTGTCGGGGGTGATGAGGGCTTTAGCATCTCAAGGCAGACATATGAAGTATTTACTGCTAAACTGTATTACCTACTAGTTCAAATCTGTTGGAATTCAGGGACAGTCTAAGATTTGGTGAGTGAAATGCCATCTGGCAAAATTGAGAAGAGGGTGTGGCCTGAGAGGGGAATGTTCAGCCTCAGTATCACATTAAGGGTACCTCAAAATACATGGTCCTTCCAGCTTGTTCCTTTTCCTCCCTCCATTTCACTTTGTCCCCTCTTCTTCCTTTCTGTCCCATTGTCCTGCCTTTTTAGCACTCAGCTTTTTATATAAGTATGTATTTCCTTTTTATTATGTATTTGGTCCTTTAGGACTATGTGATGATTAAGAATTTATTCCATTCAAGATTTTAAAATTATGTGTTTAATATTTTGTTCTCTTAAACTGTCTTTTGAAGCTATGCTGCTAACCAGGTATAGGCCAGAAAGGAGGTGGCCCTGTCAGTACCTTGGTCACATCAGCTAAGGGGGACAGTGATGTCATGTGGGTGACTCTTCTTCATTTGACCAAGGCCAGCCTCCTGCTCTTACCTCTGCCCATTCATTTCTGGCTATGGGAAAACTACCACCTGTTGGGTGAGCCAATGAGGCCAGGAAGATCAGAGGGGCTGGGTTACAGCCCATGGGCCACTATTTGAATTTCTCTGTAGTAAGCTCTTTGTAGGGCTGGCTCCAACTGCAGTAGCCAAAGAAAACCTGTCTGACTCGACATTTTAATGCCTGAGAGTTGGTGAAAGTTCAGCTGAAGCTAATGTCTAGACATCAACAGTAACTAGGCATCCAGAAAGTAGCTTCAACCAAAGCTAATAGAGCCCAAGTTTCTGCAGGAGGTTTGGTGCTGAGCTGTCCTAGAGCAGTTGTTTATCTGAGTGTTGCTATCCCTTAGCCATGCTTTCTTGGCTTTGTTCTCGCCTGTTCTTAGGCATAGCCTGAACCAGAGCTATGGCTCACTGCTCGCTTTAGTCTACTCCCTAGTCATGTGGAACAACATAGTCTAAAAAGGAAGATGTGGACTAGGGAGTTAGGAGACCTGATTTCTATTCCCTATGCTTCTACTAACTAGCCTCGAGATCTTAACCGCTCTGTGCCTCAGTGTTCCCATCTGCAAAATGGGGATAGTGTTAATTGCCCTACCTACCTCACAGGGTTGTTGTGAGGATAAACTGAGACAATGAATTCAAAGTACGTTGACAAGTAAGTGCTATGCAAATTGTAAGAAATGGAAACAATCATGTTAAAGGCAATGGAATGGACATTGGCAGAAGGGTTAATGGATTGTCCAGCCCTTTCTCTGTGTGGCTTAAACCCAGGTCGCCATTGCTTTATACATTTCCACTTAGCACAGATTTGTAATTATGCATGTAATAAAGCACAGCCTTATCCACCCTGGTGTCTGGTGTGTTTTTAAAGACCCCAAACTTGGTAGCTATTGATTTCTGATCAGAAAACCACAGGGGCAGAGTGGAAGGCTCAGGGGAGGGTAGCATAAAACACAACTGCAAACCCCTACTGGCAGGCCCACTGCTTAAAAAGATTTATTAAATACTTATTTTCACATTTACAGACTCCGTAATACTCTTTACCGTAAGGAGGCAAATGAGAGGCAGCTTGCGTTTTTGGAAATGTTCCAGATACCCAGATACCTCATTCATTATGGCTACTTAAATGTTCCTGTCTCATACATTGGTGATACTTTCCTGATGATGTGAGAATTGACTGGGAGTTGTATTTTTCTCTCTCTTTGAGCTCTTAATGATGTAAGGTTGCAGGCTTTGACAGGCCTCTTGCCTACAGCTTCTTTGTACAAGGCAGAGGATGGGTGACCAAAACGGTCCTCCCGTGAGTACTAGGATTCTTAGTACCCTCTTTATGGTGTATTGGGATTAAAATGTCTTCTGTGTGAAATCCTCTGAAGTTACCCTGTAGATTAAAGTGGGGTGAGCTATGGGGAGGTTGTTGTATCTGCAGACATTTTCATGCCTTGCTGGAACACGGAAAGCTACACTTTGAAGTACAGCTTTCCTACTTTCTCACTCTATTTTTCCTGTGTCTGACTCCCCTACTCCCTCCTGCTCTTTGTTAGCCAGACAGTACTAGGAAGACAGTGTACCATGTATCCAAGTTTTACTTTAAGAATTTCCCTAGTTGACATTTGATCACACTTGCACTGGTGTTGACTTGATTTCTTGTTGCTACTGAGAACTTTAATGACCTTGGCCTAGTTGGTATCATTTCAGGAAGGACACCTCTATGTGAAAATGACTCCCTCATAAGCCTAAAATCCCATGAAATTTCAGTTATTGATGTTATTTATCATTTTACTGTGCCCTTTCCACACTACCGTCATTCCTGCCTCTAATCTCTATACCTTTTAAGAAATAGCAATACATCTGTTACCAGCTATCAAGAACTTGCTGTGAATCAGAGTGTCATGTCTAGTCACTATAGAGCTCAGATAAAAGTTGCTTTGATGGAATGTGAGGTACAGACCTATCCATCATCTCTTACAGGCGCAGCCCAGAGAAAAAGCTGGAAATAGCCACCAGATGTCAGTGCAATCATTAAAATACTGATGTGGCTGAGGTCCAGCCGGAGGGGAACTGTGTCTGAGGGGTAGGCAGGGCAGAAAGCGTTAATTCATACGTGTAGCTAGGTGCTGGGAATGCAAAATTCAATCACATGAGTATTTCTTCCTTTATCGGACGTTCTCTTAATGTACATAATACACTTTATGCTTTTCTTATTGTTTTTAAAGAAATCAATCACAAGGCAGTCCCTGCCTGTGAGGAGCTTACTGTCCTGGTATCTGAAAGTTGTATTTTCTTTTTCAAAGCAATGTTCCAGGTGAAAACAATGAGGAAAGAAGGGCTCTAATTCCTCCCTCAGTAGGGGTGGCCATATAATTTGCTTTATGACTAGGACACTTTTGACAGTGGGAGGGACAACAGGCATAAACTAGGACTCTCCCAGGGCAACCAAGAAGTACAGTGGTTCTGTTCCTCAGGGATCTTCAGCTCCTGTCCTTTGGACTCTAACTCCAGGCCTTCCAAGCTCCTTTCCTAGCATCTCAGACTCTGCCCTCCCCTTGAGCTCCCAAGGCCCCTCCCCTGGACTCTCTTTCCTCCCTCATAATAAGCACTCTCAACTGCTACTGGGATCTGGGATAAGAGAAATGCTCAAATAACCTCAAGTAAAAAATTCATATCTCAAAAACAAAAATAGAGCTCTGAGCAGAGAGTAACATTCAGGGTAAGAGGTTCACTGGGGCCTCCTCAAGCTGCCAGGTTGAGGATTTTCCATACCTATATGTTGCCCACTGCTAGTGTCTCTAAATCGACCATTTGAGCATCTTCACCCCAGAGGTTGCAGGTAGAAGAGAAGGTGGAGAAGATGGAAAAAGCATAGGATTTGATACCAGAGGACCTGGACTCAAGGTTTACTACCTTGAGGAATTGGCTACCTTTCTTTCTTTCTTTCTTTCTTTCTTTCTTTCTTTCTTTCTTTCTTTCTTTCTTTCTTTCTTTCTTTCTTTCTTTCTTT